CCCATGCCGATGGCGGTCTCCCCTGTACTTCCCTGGTGCCCCCGCCGTCCCGAGCACCGAGATGGGGTGTCTTCGATCAGAGGTGCAGGCTGCCCGCGTCGGGCTGCCCGCTGGCGCTGTCCGATGCGGCACCGCTGCCGGATGACGTCGCCGTAGTGGTCCTCTTGCTTGCCGTCCTGGTGGATGCGGGAGTTGGTGCGGTTGCTGCAGGCAAGGATGTCGAATCTGATGTCGTCGAGGTCGCCAATGCCATCGTCCTCGTGGGTCCCGAACTCCCCGATGTTCCCGTCTCGTCGTAGAGGTCGCAGGGCAGCATGAGGTGACCGGCGTGGCTCTCTTCCAGATGATACTGCGATGATCCTGGGCTCAGCTGCAAGGAGTAGCCGCCCGGGCCGATGCGGTACATGCGATTGTTGAAACAGTCGAGCAGTATGCGCTGGCCCCGCAGCGATGCTCGCCCGAGCAGTGCCGGAACGCTGCTGTTCGGGAGCACCGGCGCCTCGTAGGTCGCGGCTTGTCCTCCCTGCAGTGCCAGTTGTTAGCGATGAGCGTGCGTGGCCTGCTGAGATCCCGAGCCCACACCACCAACCTCAAGCACCCGTTCGAGTGGGGTGCGGACAGGCGGTGGACGTCCTGCCTGCTGCTGTCGCGCTGCCATCCTGTTACCCCACTCGTCGCCAGTAAGGTTGCCTGGGCTCCCGGGGCCCACCAGCAGAGCCTCGCCGCTCCTGTCCTTCATGCGGGTGCGAACCAAGTAGGTCTCCCCGCTGGCGTTCTCGAACTGATCAACTCGCCACCATGGGAACCATGTCGGGCTGGTCACGGCCGCTGATCGCCCAGCTGTCGCCGGAGGCTGATCCTCCGCAGCTCGGTCCTGCATGCTGGCCTGGATCTCCGTCACTATGTCGTGCTCCGCGACGTTGTCGCGCATGTCAAGGGTCTCCCAGCTCAGAGCCTCGCGGAGGGTGTCTTCGTCAAGGTCGTCGATCTGCAGGCCGGGCGTCCGGGCGTCCTCGGTAAACCAGTGCAGCACTCCAGACAAGGCTCCAGTCCGCGGCTGCGCGGGCACGGGCGCATAGGCGGCCAACGTTGGGTCGGCGGCAGGAGCCCCAGCCTGCTGCGTCCCCGTCACGGCGCTGCCAGAGTTCCAGGACATGAAGTGCTTGCCCTTGCCCTTGCCCTTGCGCTTGGGGCAGGCGGCCACGAGGTGAGTCTCCGAGTCGCACTCGTGGCACCGCATGGTGCGGCCGTCACTGCCTCGAGGATTGGTGGCGCCGGGCGTGCCTGCCATGTAGTGCTTGCCGCCCTTCTTCTTCTTACCTTTTCCTCCTGCCAGCGAGCATGGGTTCACCACCGATCCTCCAAAGTGGTATCCCTTGCCGTGGCCTCGCCCACGTCCGAAGCTGCTGCCGCCCTTGCCGCTGTTCATACGAAGAGACCAGTTGCTGCGCGGGAAACGAGAGCGGCGGCTGTTCCGTTGGACAAAGTGGCGAAACCTACGCTTCGCGAACAGGTACTCGTGTAGCAGGGTGTCGTAGTCCCAGCCCTCGGAGTCGCCATAATACTCCTGTAGTTCCTCCTGAGTGAACTGGGAAGTGTCCAAGTCATCGTCGTCGGTCATCGAATCATCGTCCCCGGGCTCGTCTTCGTACAAGTAGCTCGAGCAGACGGCGCAACAATCGTAGCCCTCGTCGTCCTGGACTACGTAGTGCTGTGGTGCGGATCCAGCGCTCCCTGCCGCGCTGGATGCGCTCTGACCATACATATAGGCGGCCGTGTCGTTCCAGGTGTTGGCGCCGCTGTCATTCTCGCCCGTGAACCAATGATGCCCGTGATATCCTTTGCCGCGGTACCCTTCGGACAAGTTCTGAGGTCCTGCGTGAGTGTGCTCCGCAAAGTGGCCCTGCTGCCGCACCATCCCGATCACGCTATTCAGCTGATCGATCGTCAATGGCAGCTGGCCGCCGTTGGACTGCAGCACCAGGGGGTACACCGCCTTGGGCACATGCAGGGCCTCCAAGAACAGCAGCGAAAGCACCGGCGTCGGCAGCACGAGCGGGTCGTCCAGCTGCGCCACTCGGGCGCGCAGCGCCTCGAAGCGCGTGATCGCGTCATCGACGCTCTCCCGCTCCTGCCTGCGGAATGTGAGAAGCTCGACGATGGTGCTGATCGATGACTGGACATCGAGCGGACCAAAGCGCCGCCTGAGTCCTGTGATCAGCATCAGCACCCCGTCCTCGACCAGGTTGCCGAGCTGGTCGAACCTGCCGTGGGCGATGGCCTCGACCGGCACCTCGCGGCAGAGGTCCCTCGCCGTGCCGCCGAGTCGCTGAACGATTGCTGGGCCGCGCTGGTGTTGTTGCAGCTCCGTCGCCGCGCACCACAGCATCACGTCCTGGACCCACAGCCTGAAGGGGTACCCGCGCTGCTCGAGGTACGGAGCCCAGAATGGCGGGACCTTGGAGGTGCTCTGCTGCGCCAGCTCTGCCGCCGGCAAACCCTGTACATTCTGCTCGTGATGCTGTCCCCACTGTGGTGCTGGTAACCTTGACTCGCCGATGCGCTGGCCGCGCTGCGGCGTCATGGGCCTGAAGCCCGGTGGCTCTGCCGAGCCCGCTACGTTGATCAGGATGACGAGGAGGCCGATGAGCAGCCCGATCTTGCTCGGCGTCGAACTCGTCGAAGAGAAAGAGCATCCAGTACTTGATGAGATTGTGGCCTGCGCCAGGCAGGCCGCACATGGAGCGGTCGTAGCACAGCAGGTACAACGCCTTGAGCTCGACTCGACCCCATTGCCGTGGTCGCCACGCTGCGGCCCCTCGCCGCCCACGTCGCACGCAGAGCCGGCCGGACTTGCAGCCGACCCTGCAGAGCCCACCGGCTCCGCTACCAGAGTCGAAAGACCTCTGGTGCTCTCCTCCTCCTCCTGGTGGCCGAACGGCCAGGCAGCACGCACAAGAGGAATGATCGTCACCATTGCCATGCGGAAGCGTGCTGATCTTTGACTGATACCTTCACTCTCTGTCGACAGTTCGGCGGATCCCCGCCTTCATCTGTAAGCCAAAGGCTGCGGCGGGCGCAGGCTGCAGCGGGCGCAAGCACGCTGCGACGCTCGCTCCCGCTCTCCCTGGCACCCTTTCACTCGATCTACTCCATGGGGGCCGGAGGGGAGGGGTGCGAGGGCCCGCGCCGATCAGCAAAACGATGAATGATAAAACGCGCACCTGGTGCTCGCTGCCTGGGATGGCCGATGGAGCCCCGGCGGCGAGCTGCCCTGCGGCTGCAATCGGCGGCGGTTAGGGCAAGACCTCCTCCTCCTCCTCCTCCTCCTCCGCCTCCTCCTCATCCTCCTCCTCTCCTCCTCCTCCTCCTCCTCCTCCTCCTCCTCCTCCTCCTCCTCCTCCTCTTCCTCTTCCTCTTCCTCTCCTCCTCCTCCTCCTCCTCCTCCCTCCTCTCCTCTCCCTCCTTCCCCATTGCCTCCTCCTCCTCCTCCTCCTCCTCCCCTCCTCCCTCCCTCCCCATTGCCTCCTCCCTCCTCCTCCTCCTCCTCCTCTTCCTCCTCCTCGTCCTCCTCCCTCCTCCTCCTCGTCGCTGGGCACCCTCTGGGGGGGGGGCGGGGGCAGGAAGGCGGCGCCTGGACGCACAGGAGCGCCGCGCCGCCACGGAGCCTGGGCCTGCCCGAAGTTTTCCCGCCCCGCGCCGCTCCGAGGTCCCGGGGGCCCTCCTCTGATGGGCCTGTTTTCCACCACCACCACCACCACCACCACAATTCGTCGGAGGGGGGAAGGAGGAGGAGGAGGAGGAGGAGGAGGAGGAGGAGGAGGAGGAGAGGAGGAAGAGGAGGAGGGGGAGGAGGAGGAGGAGGAGGAGGAGGAGAGGAGGAGGAGGAGGAGGAGGAGGAGGAGGAGGGAGAGGAGGAGGAGGAGGAGGAGGAGGAGGAAGAGGAGGAGGAGGAGAAGGAGGAGGAGGAGGAGGGGAGGAGGAGGAGGAAGAGAGGAGGAGGAGAAGGAGGAGGGAGGAGGAGGAGGGGGAAAGAGGAGGAGGAGAAGGAGGAGGACCTCCTCCCCCTCCTACTTATGGTGGTGTTGGTGGTGGACAACAGGCCCATCATCATCTGGGACAAGCTTTTTGTCCTGAGCCGTTTTCAGAGGCATCTTAGATGGGGTCCGAGCAGATGGGGTCGGAGGGTCGCGCCGCATCGCCTATGCATCGGCGACGCCAGCGTGGAGAATATTTGGCTCCACATCGAGCCGCATCGCCGATGTTTTGAAGATGCGGTGCGACCCTCCGACCCCATCTACTCCGCCGACCCCATCTGGGAGGCCTAGAGTTTTTGTTGTTGACAATCCAAGGCCATGCGGAGGTCCCCGGAGCCCCAAAGGCGACGAGGCGACTCTGGACCTGCGTCCCTCGGGGTCCGCTTTGCTGCGCGGCGGAGATGATCGTGGGCCTTCTTCGGGAGCGTCCTAGAGGGGGGCGTCCAAGAGGGGGGGCGCAAATCATGGCCGGCGGCATGTGGGGGGACCAGGGACGTATTGAAATAAGAAGAGGCACCATGAAATCTGGGGAGATATCATGGCCCCCGCCATGAAATCCACCCCCCCTTAGTCATCACCCCCCTATTGGCCGCCCCCGACTTCTGCGTGCTGGCGTTCGGCCCCTCGGTGGTCAAGTGGGGTCGGGCGGCACAGTCAACCCGTATCAAAAGCATGCGCGAGAAGGACGCAAGGGCAGGGCCATTTCGGAGCTTGTCCAGCGCGGCGCGGCCAACGAGAGTAGCCCAAGGATGGGCTGGGGAGGCAAGGATGCAAAGGCAGCCGCGGGAAGGGTGCCGACCCTTCCTGTGCGGGCTGGCCGTGCATGCAGGGGGGGAGGCGGCATCGCAAGGCAGCAGGCTTTTCTCACGGGCGGCGAGCGGCCCCCAGCCCGAGCCTTCCGGGAACTGTGTGTGCACTGGGCTTCGCCCTGCAAGGCTCATCTTCGGCATCCCGAGGAAGGAGCTAGGGCTTGAACACGGAGGGCGCCCAGCGGTAGTCTTCCTGGTAGAGCTCCACCACCTCTGCGCCACGAGAACCGAGACACGGACACCCACCGACGAACTCTGCATGTACCTCCCTGTGTATAAAAAAAAGCTGGCTCTCAGTGGTGATTTCTACACCGCCACCCTCCCCTGAGGCCCAGGAGCAATCCGATGGCGGGTGTCTGTGAATTTGTTTTGTGGCGGAACCTTGTTGTAGATCGTGCGGTTCCGGTAGAACTGCTTCACCAAGCTCGTAGAACCTGTCCCGTGACCTGCTGTGCTCTTTGACGGGAAGAGTTCGCGCGGAATGTCCATCAGGGGGTCTGAGTCTTTCATGCCAGCATCGCGCTTCAGCATGTCCACCACCTGCTTCTCGATGTGCGCCGGGGACCCCGTCAGCTCCCCCACGAAGTCGTACTCCTCGATGCGCTTGCCGCCGCAGAAGATGTGCTGCGGGTCGTAGTGGGCGTTGTACTCGCCGAGCGCCTGCACCCTGGCCATGTACTGCGGGAGCAGCTCGAGCACCATCTTCTCGAACATCTCCACCTTCTTGTCCTGGGGCAGGTCGGAGACACGAGGGCCGAGGCAGTCGATGCCCCCGTACTCCCAGGCGTCGCACTTGGACAGCCAGGCGGAGAGGAAGCGTTCGGCGGGGTCGCGCAGGAAGATGCCCAGCTTCCAGCCGTTGGCTTTGGAGATGTTGCTCAGCCCGTCCTTGAAATCCGCCGAAGCCCTTGCAGGGGCCACCGAGCTACCAGGACCAGGCAGCATCAACTGAGCACACGAATCATCACCATCATCATCATCATCATCATCATCATCATCATCATCATCATCAGCAGCAGCAGCAGCAGCAGCATCAGCATCAGCATCATCATCAGCAGCATCAGCAGTGACAACAACAGCAGCAGCAACAACATCATCATCAGCAGCAGCATCAACAGCAGCATCAACAGCAGCAACATCATCATCATCAGCAGCAGCAGCAGCACCAGCAGCAGCAGCGACAACAACAGCAGCAGCAACATTATCATCATCATCATCATCATCATCATCATCATCATCATCAGCAGCAGCAGCAGCAGCAGCAGCAGCATCGTCATCATCGTGGTCATCATCATCACCATCATCAACATCGCAATGTGGCAACAAGTATAACTAGTATGACTACAGAGGACAAAAACAAATCCACCCCCATAATAATCATTCCGACAAGCGAAGCCGTTTAGTAAACGCACCCACAGAAGGAGTCGAACAGGGCAGGGCTGCTGAGTAAACGCCCAGGGCCGTTTGGCAAACGCCAATTATCGGGTCCAAATGGTTTTCTCTCCCTTGGTACCAGCCCGGCAGCTTGGCAACCGCGCAGAATCGCTCAGCTCCTCAGAAGGCGAAATTCGAAACTTCTCAACGCAAGCGCCCCCCCCCCCCGGACGACCGAAACAGGCCGATTCTCACGCCACGGTTGTCGGGGATCATAGACAGGTGCAGCAATTGGCCGGGGCTCCAAGGGCCTCGCAGAGATGCCGCCCGCGCTCCCAGGGCAACGCTCCACGCGTGGAGCCCGCGCTCCCGAGGTCATGCTCCCCGTGAGCCCGCGCTCCGGAGGCACCGGATCCCTCGCTCAGAAATTATGGGCCCGCGCTTCCGATGCCGCGATCGCTATACGTCCGCGCACCCTGTAAGAACGGTTTTTTGAAGGCAGATCTGCCTTCAAAAAAACATTTTTTGAAGGCAGATCTGCCTTCAAAAAACCGTTCTTTCAGAGTAGACCATTTTTTGAAGGCAGATCTGCCTTCAAAAAACCGTTCTTACAGAGCAGACCAGTCTTTCCTCCTTGCAGGTAGGCTACTACCATCCGCAAACAGAACTATGGGTCAGAGCATCCGAGCCCACAGTCCTTGACAAGATATCCTGGCGACGAGCCCAACACATTTCCACTGCGTGAAACACGTCAGCTGGAATGCTCAATGCACATGGGCATACCGAGGGATATGCAGTACCACTGAACGCTTCGCCAAGACATGGACTACTACACTCGAAGCTGCCCAAGTCACGCATGCACTCTTACTGGGATCTTCGGTGGAGTTCCCTATGGGGCACGAATCGTGTGAAAGGTATGCCGAGCTGGACCAGAGTACAAAAACGAGCCTTGCGATCGAAGCCCTCGGTGGAGCTCCTTATGGGGCCCCAAATCGTGAGAGGGGTGTGCCGAAATGGACTCGAAAACGCATGCGACCCCTGCCACTGGAGCCTTCGGCGGCGTCCCCTTATGGCGCCACGGCCACGAAGCGTGTGAGGGGTGTCGAAATAGACACGAATACGCATGCAAACCCTGCCACAGGAGCCTTCGTTGGAGCCCCCTGGGAGGACACGAAACATGTGAAGGGTGCGCCGAAATGGGCCCGAATACGCATGCGAATCCTGCCATTGAGACCTTTGGCGGAGCTCCCTGTGGGGCCACGGAACATCTGAGGGGTGTGCCCACATGTAACCGAGTACCCATGCCGCTGGAGCCTTCGGTAGGGCAACCTCTGGGGCTACGAAACGCATGAAGGGTGCGCCAAAATAGACCCGAGCACGATTGCTGCCGAAATGGGCCCGAGCACACATGCAAACCTGCCACTAGAGGCTTCGGCGGAGCCCCCATATGGCGCCATGAAGCGCGTTATTGTTGTGCCACAAGAACTCCGAGTACGCATGCGAATCTTGCCACTGGGGCTTTCGTGGTGGAGCCCCCTATAGGGCCACGAAGCGTGCGAGGGGTGTGCCGAAATGGTGGTGGTGGTGGTGGTGGTGAGAGGAGGGAGGGGGAGGATGAAGAAGTGGAGGGAGCAGCGAGACGGGAGAGGAAGAGGAAGAGGAAGAGGAGAGGAGAGGAGAGGAGAGGAGGGCGAGAGTGAGACAAGGCGCGGCGCTGCGAATTCAAAACGAGAACCCAACACACAGGAGAAACAGAGAAACATGCAGCCCCGCGCCCCAAGAAAGCCCGCGCTCTGGAGGCCACGATCCCTCGCGAGGAGGAGCGGTGCCTCGCTCCCAGGACGGCGATCCGACGATCCCCTGCTGAGCCGCGCCCGCAGAGCAGCGATCCTTCTTCTAGACGCCACGGGTCCGCACTCTCGAGGCCACGGCCCTGTGGGAAGCACTGGCGGACCTGGGCGCTCTTCGGACCACGCTCCCATCGCGAAGAGCTGGCTGCGGTACGCGCTCCCCAGGCCGCTCCGCGCCGGCGCAGCCACGGCGCACCGCAGGCTGCCAGGTCTCGGCGTGCACGCAGCCACGATGCCCAACAATACACTGGATGCTCATTCTGGGGACCTTCCTGGAGCCACTCGCTCCACTCGTGCGTCGAAGCTGCGTCGAACGTCCGTCGATCTGGGTCGACCCTGAGTCGAACCTGAGTCGAACTTGAGTCGAACTTGAGTCGGACTGGGGTCGAACAGATCCGTTGGGTGGGCTCCAGGAAGGTCCCCCAAAACGAGCATCTAAAATACACGCCGCTGGCTCTACCCCTTCCTGTGTGTTCTTCCCATGCTCAAGGGCCCGCGAAACGAACAAGCCGGCCATCCATACGCACGGCCAGCCAGACAAACAGCCAGCCAGCCAGCCAAGTCACCAAACCATCTGCCGCTCAGGAAGCCAGACAACCCGCCAGCCGTCCGAGCTGCCAGTCTGCCAGCCACTCCGCCCGTCAAACAACCATGCCTGCAGTCACAAAGGGGTACCAGCGGAGAAGGGCGAAGCTCATTTAGATACTCCTTGAAGTGGCGGCCCTCCGAGTTCGATTTCCAAAAGGGAATTGCGTCCGAACTCGACATACCATTCAAGGCGTTCACCATCCTGTTGAATTGTGTGCATGCGTTCTTCTCTATGTAGCAGAAGGCAAATTTCTTGTCGGGCACGATGAGCATGCGGTTTTCCCAGCGCTTCCCCTCGTGGGGGCCTCTGAAGGGGAATTCGCCGTTGCGAGGCGGAGGTGTCCACCTGACGCCCACGGGCGCATCCCCATCTGCCGATGACTGCGGATCGTACGGGTCGAAGACGTAGAAATCGTCGAAGGGCTCGTCCAACGGTCCTGATGGAGATGCCCTCAGGGAGGCCGTCGAAATTGCGTCCGCTTGCAGCGCCGCAGTGGCCAACACCCCTGCTGCCCGCAGCACCATCCCAGCAGTGCGAGTGAAGGAGTGTCAAGTATACTCGTCGAGGCGGGGCAAAATACTGGCTTGCCGTCCCCTGAGCGCGAATTCCCGCGGGGGATGGGGGAAATGTGCAATGAGGAGGAGAGGGAAGCGGAAGGCGGAGGTCGGGGAGGGGGGACGGCGGGTAGAAAAGGGATTGCGGAAGGAGAGAGGGGATGAGGGAGAGGAAAGGAGGAGAGGTGGGAAAAAAAGGCGGAAGAAAGAATGGAGGGAGAAAGAGGGATAATAAAAACGGAAGTGGAGAACAGTTGCGTGACGTTGGCGCTGGTGTTGATCATGGTGAGGACGTTGATGATGAGTTCTCCGTATGGGCTAGAGGCAGAAACTCGGATCGACTCATTGGAACACGCACCACCTACATGCCAGGGCGTCTTCCTCTTGCCAGCAGCCGCTGGCAAGCTTGGGCGTGGATGCGACAATCCCTACGACCATCTCGGAGGCGGCGGGACTTCTCAGAAGCCGTCGCGTCTTCTGAGAAATTGTTTCTATCTAAGGGGGGGGGCTCTGAAAACTTCTCAGGAGGCCGGGGGACTTCTGAACCTTCCGAGAAGGCCTTTTCCTTCTTTCTCCCTTCCCTTCCCACCCCCCCACTCGCCGCCGACCGTCGCTTGGGGAATGCGACTCGGGAGGATCTGCAGGACCATCAGCAGAAGGAGGGGGAAGGAGAGGCGGAGAGTCCGATACGCTGTCCTCCCCAAACTTCAGGTCAAGGATCGGACACCCCACAAGCAGGAGGGGAGGAGGAGGAGGACGAGGCGGAGGAGGAGGAGGACGAGGAGGAAGAGGAGGACGAAGAGGAGGAGGAGGAGGAGGAGGAGGAGGAGGAGGAGGAGGAGGAGGGGGAGGAGGAGGAGGCGGAGGAGGCGGAGAGGATGGGCAGGGGAAAAGGAGGTGGGCAGGCGGGGCAGCCAACGCAGGAGGCCGAGCGGCAAAGACAGCAACGGTGAGGGGGCCCAGGGACGCACACAAAAACATAGACACACATCCTCGGATTCCCCCATCTGTTCCTATCTTTTCTGGGTGTCTGTCTTCCCCCCCCCCCACGTCCAATATTCTCCTGCGCTTTCTGGGGGATCGGTGATGAATTGTGTGTCCGTGGGTTTCCTTCCCTCCCGAAGCAGGCGAGCAGCAGCAGGGAGGGCAGGAGAGGGACGAGGCGCAGCAGGAGCGGTCGAAGCTCGGCACGCACACGAATGAGATCCTTCGCCGTCGGGGACGCCTGCCCCAGGACGGCTGGAAAGCTCCTCCTCCTGCTCCTCCTCCTGCTCCTCCTGCTCCTCCTCCTCCTCCTCCTCCTTTCCTCTCCTCCTCCTCCTCCTCCTCCTCCTGCTCCTCCTCCTCCTCCAGCTCCTCCTCCTCCTCCTCCTGCTCCTATCCTCCTCCTCCTCCTCCTCCTCCTCCTCCTCCTCCTCCTCCTCCTCCTCCTCCCTCAGAAGGTGAGGAGGAGAAGGAGGAGAAAACACAACCAGGAGGTGAGGAGGAGAAGGCGGAGAGAGCACGACAAAAGCACAGCGCTTCTCCTCCTCCCCCCCCGGCGTCAGGGTGGCAACTCTCCCGCCGCCCCCGGGGACCTGCGCTCCCCCGCGACGGAAGAGCTCCTGTCATACAGCCCGTCGCCCGCGCCAGAACACAGAGGGCACCACGGGTGTGCTGGCCCTCGCCCGTTCAAGCGCTGCGCACGGGGGGGGGCACGAGCCCCTCCCCCCCCCGTCGGGCGCGGGGGGGGGCGGGGGGCGAAAAGGGGCCCTAGGACACACAGATAAATACACACAAATAAAAGGATTCCCCTATATTTTCCCATATTTTTAGGGTTTCTGTCCTCCCCCCCACTTCCCATATTTTCCTATATTTTCTGGGGAATCGACGATGAATTGTGTCTGTGTTTTTTCCCCTCCTGAGAAAGGCCAGGACAGCAAAGGGGTAGGGTCGAGAATCAGCTCGCGCAGCTGGCTCTCCCAGCGCCTCCTGGCGCCGGGAGGCGCCCACTCAGTTATCGAGGCGTGGGCCCGGCGGCGGGGCCGAAGTCGGCTGCATGCACCAGAGTTCGTAACGCCCCCGTTCCCTATCCCCCTCTCTCGTCTGGTCCGATCCCTGCCTGCGGCGGCAGAAGACAACACCACCGACACCGCGCCGTGGGGAACCCAGCAGCCTGCTACGGCTGACCGAAAGAAAAAACAAAGCCTGCGGACGAACAAACGAAGGAGTCACACGCGGGCGGGCTCCGAACGGCAGCGTGTCATTGATGCTGCAGGGCTCGAGCCAAACAGTGTTTTCCGTTTTGTGTTCGCTCTCCCTCATTCTGTCTTCCCCCCTCCTTGTTCCTGCGAGACGAAGTCAAAACGAACAAAACGGCCCACGAAATCGCCCAAACACCGTTCAGCTAGAGCCCTGGTGTGTCATTGATGCTGTCCTCCCCTCCCGAAGCTGAAGCTCCACGGTCACCTGGAGTCGCACCGCGAGGGCCGACATCACGAGGAGCGCGAGCGCTTTGCGCAAGGGCTGCCCGGGGCTCTCTGGCAAACCTCGCCGCGCTCGACGGGCCCGTTCGTGCGCAACCTGCGCGGCCTCTGCGCCAACCGGCCCCGGGAGCCTCCCGAATGTCGCGCCCTTTTGGCGGGCACCGCGGCCTTTTTGGGACTCGTGGGCCCCCCCCCGCGGCCCCAGATAGCACGACAATGGTTCGGTGGCAACTCATGGGAGCCACCCATACCATCCTGTCGGCTCTTGGCAATCGACGCTAATCGACGCTAGTCGACGCTAATCGACTCTGAATCGACACGAATCGACGCAAGATCGGCGCTATCTGATCGACTCCCGGACGCCAATCGACGCTAATCGACGCAAAAGATGGAATTGAAAGGGTATGCCAGGCTCCCATGACTGGCTACCGAAGAATGTTGTCCTGATGCGATTGCCCCAGCATGCGTTCCACGAAATCCAGAGTATCTGGCGTCACTCGTTGCTGGGGCCCCTGTGGGGCAGAAGTCTCTGAGATCTGGGACATCTGGGAATGGATCCAGACCCAGGTTTCTATCCGCCACGCCTCCTTGGAGCGCCAAAGAAGCCCCAAGACGGTCCCACAAGGGCCGTCCAGGAACCCATCCAAAGCAACACCAAAAATCTCAAAAACAATCGACTGGCGTGGCCAGCCACACTCTCGCCAACTACTTGGCTACATGGGCGTCTCCGAGAGGCAGGGGGCAGCGGTGATTCACCGCAGGCGTCCTCGACATGGCACCACAGCAGCACTACACGTGTCTGCTTGGCGCCCCTGCTTGGAGACAGTGTTCCAGCTTGTCTGTGGCGATCCGTCTTGAGCGCACCGCCCTACTGCTTCCTCGCAAACCCTCGAGCTCCAGTGGAGTTTCCGCTCGAGTTCCCGCCGCTGCGCCGAATTCTCGCCGCTGCGCCCAGCAGGTTGGACCTGGCGTCAGCGTACGGAGACCCCGATGGCAGCTGTGCCTCGTACGGGTCGGGGGCGGAGAAGCCCTCGAACGGCCCGAAGTTCGGGGTCGGCCAAGAGGGGGGCGTCTGAGAGGGGGGGGGGCGCAAATCATGGTCAGCGGCACGGGCGGGGCCCAGCGGTGGGCCAGGGAACGCTTTGCAATAAGAGGGTGGGCCATGAAATCTGGGGAGACATCGTGGCCCCCGCCATGAGATTCCTGCCCCCCTTGGTCCTCGCCACCCTCCTGGCCGCCCCCGAGAAGTCCTCCGCCTGCTGCTCGAACTCGCCGGCGGGCCCGCTCAGCGCGCTGCGGGCCGGGGCCCTCGCGGGCGCCACTGCGACCGCGCGCACGTGCACCGCCGCAGCGGCCAACACCGCTGCAGCCCGCAGGATCATAACGGCCCCCGACATCCTGTCGCTCCGATTGGCTCGAGGCGTGGGCCCCCGAGGTCTGGACTCGTCTCTCTGCTCCTCTCCCTCATGTTGCGACTCCTCTTCCTCACCTTTCTGCTCCTCTTCCTCATCTGTCTGCTTCTCTTCCTCCTTCTCCTCCTCCTCCTCCTCCTCCTCTCTCCTCCTTCTCCTCCTCCTCCTCATCCGCCTCCCCCTCCTCCCCCTCCTCCTCCTCCTCCTCCTCCTCCAACTCCTCCCTCCTGCTCCTCCTCCCTCCTCCTCCTCCTCCTCTCTCCTCCTCCTCCTCCCTCCTTCGAGGGTCTCCCGTGCTGCCCCAAGACGGCAGTGCCGCGGCTTGTCTTCGGCAGCCTGGGGGTGAAACAGAATCCTGAATGTATAACCCCTGGCCCCTCAAGAGAACGCGCACTCACCACACGTAGCCAAGAGAAGCACCGGTGCCTGGCTTCTAACGACTTGGACCCTGTAGGCCTTGTCCATCGACTGCACATGGTCTCGGTATGAACTCTCCCCCCGAGCAGGAATGCTTCCAGATCAAGCCCCACCTGAGATTTCATTTGACTGCGCCAACGTCTGCTCCCACAGACGACGTCCGTTGACGGCACCAGCAGTCTGGGACGTTCCTCCTTAGGCAAGGCTAGGAAATGAAGTATTGCCCAGTCCCTCCCGAACATGTCGGTGACCGAAACCAAGCCCCCGCCGCGCTTCATCCGAGACGCCCGGCCGATACTGTCCCAGCCATAAGAAATTTTGGGGTGACAAGCTGGAGCCTGGATTGAACGGTGAAGCCCGCCCTGACGGGCATCACGCCACGTAGGATCGTCGTCAGGCTTTGGCAACGCTTTTCTGAGGCGGTGCCGCGCAAAGAGCACAACTACGAGCGCTGTGCATGAAGCAGACTTACACGTGGCCCCGCAGGGCGGTGGCGCTGGCAAGCAGAGCGGGAACGCCGAGCAAGGAGTGATGGGCAGACGAAGAGAGAAAGCCTCTGGGTGACACTTGGAGCATCTCCGCAAGGTCTGTACATTTATGGCCGCCCGCAGCGAGGGCAGCTCGCACGCAGAGATGCAGAGGAAACACGCACGTTCGCTAACTACAGAGCCCCGGG